TCTAACAGGTAGCGATCATATCAATGAAAGCATAGTATTGAAATAAATATTTAATCTATTATGCTTATAGGAAAAGCAGGGGGAATAGTGCTCTCCATGGGTAATGGCGCTCACTTCTGTAACTTTGTCAAAATGGAACATAGCAATATGCAACGTCGCATGAAGCATGGGGGGCGAGGTCCTCTGACAGGTAGCTACGCGTACGGGAAGTCAGTTCGCGGCCGGTGACCGTAAATTGTGTTTCTCCGTTTACGGCCGCGCTGATCTAATTTTCGATAAACATAAAACATAAGTTCCTTCCAAACAACATTTACAATGCTGACGAGACTGGTATCATTGCGGTGACAGACTCAGGAAAGGTGCTCGCCGAAAAAGGACAAAAAAGAGTCGGATCTGTTACAAGTGGCGAACAGGGAAGCAATAAACCCCATTACCCCTTAGCCTGAGCGGCATTACCCCAAAGTCAGGGGCAATGGCGCTCAAGCCTGTTTTTTTTTTTTATAATGATTTCCTAATTCTTATAAGTCAAAGATAAATACGTTTGGTGTTAAAATGTTGATTACTGAATAGTTGAAGAACTTGTTATTTTTTTGAAATTTTGAAGTACCATTAATATTTTGAAAAATACAGTGTATTTTCCTTAAGTGAACGCCATTTCCCCTTTCTACCTTAATTATTATTGCAGTATTCACCTTCCATTGTTGTTGGTTTTTATTTTGAAAGTCGTGCGATGGGCTTTGTAAAAATGATAATGTAGGTCTATTTTCATACTTGGATAGTTGTATTATAGGTTTAACATTTGGCAAAGAACAAATCTTGGGAAACATTTTTGAAGGTAAGAACTTTAAAGTAGGAAGCATTTTGTTTTGTTTAAATAATATTATATCTGGCTTAATATTATATTCCACTTTTGTAAGATCATTTTTATCTTTCCTATTTTTTTTTACCATTTTCCTGTTTATAGGATAGATAAAATAATAATTATTTAATTTTCAACTCATATAACTAACATATCTAATATTTATATTATCTCTTTGCACTCGAGAGGTGAGTATCGTTCACCAAACGATTCAACGCCACAACTCCAGAGGTGACTCTCATTCACCACTTTGTTTGGTGCGGAGATTTGATGCGATTTACCAGAGTACTGGTCACGGAATAATGTCAGCTACGTTTCTTTTTTTCAAACGAATTTAACAGAGACAGATTTAGTCAGATTTTTTGGATGCATCATCTAAAAACAATCCAAATAAAAGATGCAGGTCCAAGACCACGTTTACAGATAGTAAGCTACTTTCTTGACTATATAAATTCTAAACTTTTGAAGTATTTTACACTGGGAGAAGAAATTTGTGTGGATGAATCCACTATCAAATTCAAAAGTCGAATTTCCTTTATTTCTTAAAATCCGAAAAAACCAAGTAAATGAGGTATTAGAGTTTACACAATGGCAGACTCAAATATTGGATGTATCTGTAATATTTTTCCTTATTATGGAAGTCTTATCATGGAGAAATGTATAAAATCACTAAACAGCAGAGAGAACAGCCGCTTAATCACTTGCGGTATGTGAAAATCTTTATTTCGTCAATTGACTAGAGATTTTTGTCAGACACGTGTTCGAGCTTCGACTTCAACCTCCAATTTCGAAAACATCCGCCTAAATGGAAAGCTGCATAACATTCTAACAGGAGTTAGGAAGAATTGCAAAGTCTACTCTCAAAGAAATAACCCCGGCAAAAGATTTTAAACAACATACTATTGTGATACTTGTCCCGAAAAGTCTGGCAATTGTTATTACATGAAATATCATACAAAGCAAAATTACAAAGCTAATGTTTAAAAAATTATCTTCGTAAAGATGTAAAGATACATTAAATATTCAAATATACAAATCGTATTCTTTCATTTTTGTATGAAATGATTTTAAGTTGGTGATGAGAAATTCACCAAAAATGCTGTGAAATGGTCTCGAGTGCAAAAAGGGTTAAAATATTTTAGTACTCACTTCTGTACTTTCTATATTATAACTTTTTGGTACTACATCAACTTGCAGAAGTAAAGATACAGCATTTCTTCTGCACTTTGATAAGCTATCTGCAGATAATTTGATAACATTCAAGCATGCACTTAATCTTAGTGCAAATGATAATTTCTAAATATTCCATGTAGCTCGAAATTTATCAAAAAGAATATTAAAATATACAAATTTTATCCTTTCATTTTTGTGTGAAATGATTTTAAGTTGGTGATGAGAAATTCACCAAAAATGTTGTGAAACGGTCTGGAGTTGCTGGTTCGTCGCGCAAAAAACGGTCTCGAGTGCAAAAGGTTATAAAACTTTAATAAATTGTAAAATTTATACTTACCAAAAAATATAAACGGATTATTAAGATTTTAAAAATCAAGTATATTACAAATAATTGTTTTGTTATTAATAAGTAAATTACTAAGAATTTGGTTAGGTGTTTTTTTTTTTTGTTGAAAGAAAAACAAATGTCATAAGTCACATGAGATTTTAAACATAAGTGAGATATCATAAGTCAGAGGTCCTACCGGGTTGTACGTATAATATTTTTATTTTTATAAGTAGAGATAAGAAAATATATTTTGATATAATATTATGTGCATGTACTTATATTAGTATGATAAGTTGAAATATTATTTTTTTTTCTGAATATTATCATTGTTTATCGGGTAACCATATATCGGATGTGCAATCACCGCCAGGGTATCTGTTTATATTGGATTTAAATAATTTTCGTTAAATATAACATAAATTCAAAGAGATTAAACAAATATTATAATATTTAAATTAATATACTTACCGTATTTCATGAGCTAATAAAATATCATTTTTATCCTCTCCAAAATCAACCAAAAATTCTTCATCCAATTTCATGCCTCCATTTTCAACATCGACGTCAAGTTTCACCATCGTCGATCCATGTCTATACATTGTAAAAAATTTCATATTTTTAAAGTGAATTTAAAATTCAATTATTTTACAATATATTGTATTTAAAATACCGAAACTTACTCAACGTGTTCGGGGTAAAATTGTTTATCCCAGGGTTTAAAAATGGATGTTGTTACATAAAGTCGACGTCCATCAAGACTGAGTTGTAACATTTGTGGTGAACCATATAATCTGCGTCCTTTCACATAAACAGGATCAGGTTGACTCTTCAATTCGACATCTTCTAAGACACGAACTTTAGAATCGCTTAATATGGAACCACCAAGGAACACTTGACCAGTTAATTTAGGATTTCGACGATCGGTTATATCGTATTGTCTAATATCACCGTGCAACCAATTAGATAAATACAAATATTTATCATCTAAACTTAGCAGTATGTCTGTGATCATTCCTATAAGGAATAATAATGGTAATAAATAATGAAATATAGTTTATTTCGACGTATTGTTTTTTCATATTAGAAGATTTAATCGTAGGACAAAAAGAAATTACACTTACCAGACATAAATGGTTCGATCCATCCTTGAACTTTTTTTTTAGGTATATCGATTACTTTTTCAACGTTCCAATCACCGTTGCTCGTTTTGTAAAATCTGATAATATTTGATGAGACTGCGCAACCGACGTAACCTTCTGCTGCTTTTGGATCGTGAAGAAATCTTATTTCGAGTGGTGCAATACCGTCATCTCCAAGATGAATGGTTTGTTTTAGTGTTCGTTCGGACCAAGAATAAATGTTTAGACTTCTACCATAACGCTCTGTCATAAAATAAAGACAATTTTAGATCATTACTCGGAATGGAACTATATTTGTCGTGGATACATTTTTAGGTCATTTCTCACTTGGATCGGCAATGTGATCAGCAAAATATCCTTTCTTAAAAAACTTTGGGGTTCCCCATTCAGAGGCTATTAGTATATCGTGATAAGGTTGATACCAGAAATCGTATCCA